CCTGATGCCCCTCATCCAGCAGCTGAAGGTGGAGGAGGTGCGTCAATGGCAGGATAGGAGGAAGTAGGGTGCGCTGTAGGCCTCACGGAGAGAGCCTCCAAAGGCTCGGCATACGCGTGCTGGGTCTCAGGACAGAAAGTGGCACGTTTGCATCAGTCCAACTAGGTTTGATGCGGATGACAAGATATATTACTATGCATTCCAAGCATGCCTCTCTTACATACCACCTGTATCGGTGGAATGAACGCAACGCTGGGGGTTGGTGTTTATGTTCCAAAGACTCTCATGTTTGACTCCAATGGTTATTCTCTGTGCAACAGAAGCGGAGGGCTGGTAGGGCAGCCCCCTCCATGTGGAACACATACACAGATCATTATGTCCTTTGTTACGATACCCATGCGCACGGGTTTGCCCTACCACGCGAAGGAGGACAACCCCATCAGCAATCGCACCACATTCCTCATGCCTACACGAGAGCCCTGTCCAGCCCCCCCCCCACACAAACACACAATGCATTATAGGATTAAGTGTTTTTCTTGTACTTTAGCATCAGGGCACTGTCGTCCCACTCCTGCGCCCCCCTTGCCGGTAGTACCGTTCGATCGTGATATTGAACGGGGGGGTTTCGGCTACAAGGCTGGCTTATTTTCATTGGTCAGCAGGTTGTCACTTATTTGAACGTGTTGGGTGTCTCTTTATTCGGCTACGAAACTGGCGTATTTTCATTGTTGGCGCGGTCGATGGCAATAACTACTCTAACACACGTACCCCACGGACTCCAACAAACAGGCTCAAGCGGAGGAGGGCGGCGAGTCGATCCGCCAGACCAAGCGGCCGAGAGCCATCGTGCTTGTCCCCACGAGGGAGCTGGCCGTGCAGGTGCTGGAGGTGGCGAAGCGGCTGTCCCGCTCTTGCAAGTTCTCGTCGTGCGGGGTGGTTGGGGGGGAGGACTACGGCAAGCAGAGGCAGAGGCTCGCCGGTACCGTTGACATCGTCGTCGGCACTCCAGGTGCGTGTACCNAAGATCGAAGCTGCTGGGCGGTCCGAATTGAAACCGCTTCAAGCACCTTTGCCTGTTGCTATATGGGCCGACAATTAATTTATGCGTCAAGACCCCATGGCATTCAAATCGAATATGGCGACGAGTAACACTGTGAGAGAAGCCCTGCGCTGAAGGTTGCGACCCCACACGCTCACGTAGGCGCTGGTTCCCCGTTAGTGCTGTGTGCTTGACGCGTTTCGAAACCGGAGCGCTCAGCAGCTTCAAAAATTCTTCTTGTAGCTTACCGATACCAATGATGGAAGGATCGATTGGAAAATCGCAGACCGGTAGCCTGTTGTGTATATCGCAAGGACTACAATCTCATAGATGAAGTATTAACATTGTACACAAGCGACAGCTGCGGACGGTTGATTTGCGATGGTAGTATCGTACCTAAGTCATCTACCATAGAGTTTTGGAAACAGATATGTGTTTGCGTTTCCTGAAATTTTCAGGGGGTTGTTGCGATCTCGCCCGCGCCCCAAAGAGAGGTTGTAAGAGAAATCGAAAGTACAAGGAAAGTGTCTTTGGCTTCTCCCGTTCATGAGAAATACATACACCACAGATGTATTCTACACAGGCAGTACGGTTTTCGAGCAAACCGGATTTAAGGGGGTGATTTTTTGTCGTCTCAACCATCTCTCTCGTCATTGCACGACGGTTGCATGCATCATCATGCCGCCGCTCCCTCGCTGCCTCGTGATGCTTGGAATAGGTTACCTTCGAGGAGAAAATTGCTCAGGTCTACGACGTGGCTCCCAAGGTGCGCATCGCAGGCAGCGGCTTCGACGAGCTTGACGCCGCCTCCCTCAAGCTGTCCTTCGCGCCGAAGCTGAAGGAGGGCGAGGACTACAAAGTGGACATCCAGAGCTCCACCGTCATGGTGCTCAACCTCCAGCCCGGCAAAAAGTGAGTTCAGTATTTTTACACACAAGTTCAGTACAACACGTGCTGCTGTATTGCGATCACGAAATGACGTGGTGGCACCACTGCACCCCGATTCTACAGTATCCGGACACAACCTGCTCTGAATAGCGACCATATACCCTCTCGACAGCAGTAGTGCTGAAAAGGGACTAAAATATCAATATCAGGGATCGCCAAAGCGAGCCCGTAAATGCTGCTGTACATGTATTTCTCCTCAAGGTTGTTCTTTCTGTCTCAGGTCATGCGCTGTTTTATGTTGTTGGTATGACGTGACGATATCCACTTGAGGGGAACACTCGTCCCCTCGGCCGCGCTCCCTTGGGAGCAGAGTAATGCATGCAGCACTCCTGCTGTATGTATGTCCGCTCGGTGTGTGCATGTTGTGTTTGTTGGCTGTAACAAATCTTCCATTTGAGTTCTTCCAAACTTGCTATTCACGTATTTACGGCAGTTATGCATACGCAGTTTGCACATAGGCATATGCACTATTGCTGCCTACAGTACCTTATACGACGAAGGATAACACCCCCGGACAACTACACCCGGTCACAACATGGAGTGTTACTGCTTGGCCAGTCCTGGTCTGCCCTGTCGCAGCTGGGAGGCTAAGGGCCCTAGAACATGCTTCTAATCGTACTTCATGGACAAAGAAGGCCAACCCATAAGACTACAAAGTCAGCATCCCAACTTGATTGCTTTCTCCGCAAACGGTGCTCTCCTTCACACAGATCGGGGATAAGGTGCCAACGGTGCGCATGTTTCTATAGTTACGCCGCACATGACTTCGTTCTTCGTGTCCGTGTGGGCTTGTTTTTTCCCACTTTATGTACACATAGCGCCTGCACGTACGCAAGGTAGCCCCCAGTTTTACCTCCAAGTCCCTTTTGTGGGCTCCACGATAGCCGCTAGACGATCATGTGTTAATGTGGGGGGTCTTTAACTTGCTGACTCAAGTTCCCTATGATGTTAAGCATGAAAACTCCGAGCTGCCAGCGTCTTGCACGTGTGGGCGCTTGCTATCTGTATCACATGAACGATTCGTACGGTGTCGACAGGGCCGACAATTTTAGCATTATAGTTCTTAGCTGCCAACTTTCCTTCGAAATGAGGGCGCTAGCTTTATCTGCACGTATATGCGTATGCACGACCCAGGCGGGACCGACAGGGCTAACAAATGGTGCTCATGTTCCATACAATGTTGAGCATAGGCATTATCACCTCCGTAAGTCCTTCCAGGTGTGGGCGCTAGCTATCTACATCACTGGGTACATGGTAGACGACTCATCATGCGGTGCTACGTTTCCCGCTGCCTTTTGGTGTGTTCTGTCATTGGCTCCTGTAAGGTGGATATCCCTCGATGATGGCGCCTCTCCGACTGGACTCTACCTCTCATCCGCAAATGTTGGCGACCTCGGCCTGCTCGAAGACTCAGTGCAGTTGGGTTGCCCCCTCTTTTTTTTTATTTTGTGACAGAACGAATCCATCTTCATCCTTTAAAAATTAGTCTCAAGATCATTATAGCATTGCATTCATTGCCTCAGCGGCAGCTACTTGTTTATTTTTTATTTATTGCCATTCAATAGAAGTATGTTGGGTTCTGGCCGTCGGTCCTTCCACCTCACCTTTCGGTACGGTACGGTACGATTCCGGACGCACCAGATGTGGGGTGACGAGCGCGTGGATGAGGCCACACAGAACGTCATTCGCCGACTTGCTTGCGCGGTGATTCCCTTGACTCTGGTGGCGTCGGGTGTTCAGTGGGAGGCGATTTGCAAATGTATGTGTGTGTCAAGTGTGCCAAACGAACAAGAAACGGTCCATGCGATGGCAAGAAAACAGTAGTCACCAAACGACCACGTATCGTGTACTGGTACGTGTGCATGCCCATCCCCATATGTCCTGTCGCCAATCTAGAATACACGACTTTGGGTATATGTATCACCGTATGTAAATGAGATTTTCGACTGATCCGCCGAGGTCACACCGGGGGTAAGTAACAGTTTTTCTTTATTTGGTCTTCTTGTATGTTTTTCGCAGGACAGCAGCACCGTTTTTTTGTTTTTTGAAAGTATACAAGTTTGTTCCAATGCCCCACCCGTGTTTCCTCCTGCGGTACTTGGCTTATTGTAGTTTTAATCGCGAGAACGGTTCAGCCGTCCCCATCCCTCGAGGACATGGTTTGAAAATGCTGGTGTGACGGCGGGGCTATTGGCGCCGCCTTGTCGGCTTGCCTCGGTGTCGATCGACGTCATGAACACGAGATCTGCTACCAATGCTATCTGCCTGCATTCTGATTGGTGTACTAGATGTTGTGTCAAGCAGGGACACCTCCCGACACTGTTCTCCCTTCTGCCCCCGCTAGCGCCACTGGACGTCCTGCCGTGCGCCGCGAAGAAGCAGCTTCTTGACCCCTCTCAACACTTTAACACGCTTATTAGTATACATGGTTATACGTCTGTTCCCTCCTTCCCCCGCCCGTTTATTTTATTGTTATTTTGCTTGTGTTGCGTGCATATCGCCACCATCGTGCCCTCCCCCACCGTGGAAGCCTCCTCCAGGGAGGTCTACATGCAAACCACCCCCAAGTAAGTTGTGAAGCCCGTCAAGAAGCATCGATTCGCTGGCCTCGCCCAGTTGACCCGGGACATGTTCATCGTACAGCACACCAAGTGCGCAAAGAACAACGTGTTGGTTGCGTGCGTCGTTAATCACCGTTCTTATTTGCAGCTGCACTTGAAGGAAACAACTCAAGTACAGTCGCAACACGTTGAACGCGCACGTTTCTGGCAATTGCCGTGTGTTCTTGCTGCACGTTGTCTGAACAACAAGTCTCGCGCGGACTGTCTAGACTGTGTGGTAGTGACGTCAACGTTGTTGTCGTTGGCTTTTTTGTCGACTCCCGCTGATTGGTCGATTTGAACGGAACAGGCTGATCGTCAACGGAACGAACTTCAACACCAAGATCACGGAGCTGTACTTCGACCCCCCTCTTCAGGAGGGCGTCGTCATCCAGAAGGTACTTCCTACAGTTGAAATTGTAATCAGTACCGTAGCACAGGAGGCGGAAAGATGGCACCCGACTGGACCGATTTTCAGAGCTCGATCGCTCCACATCCAAGCTTGCGCCAACACCAAAAACGGTGGTTTTGGAATCATGTCGTCGAAGGCGTTCCGTAGGCGTGTCGGGTGCTTTCCTTCTCCCTCGGTTGTGGCGCAACCGAGGTTTTGAAAGTCGTTCTGGGGGGTGTGCCATGTCTCCGCCCCTTGCGGAATAACACGGTACGGTATACGGTACGGGACAGACAATCGTGGTCGTGGAGTATTCGAGCTTCGAAAGTCGGTCTGCGGGTTATGCCATCTCTCCGACTCTTACGGTAGCAGTCAAAGAGACCAACATGTTCTGCTGTAAAACTGAAAATAGAGTTGTGGTTTATTTGGTTCTTTTAATGAGTTACTCCAACAGACGAGACATGTCGTGAGACTACTGTTTACAGACTTGTAATTTTTGCTTTTGAATTTGTTGGGTCTGCTCGGCTCGTTCTCTCTTTTGGGGGGGTTCTTCGACGTCCGCTGTATGAGCATTGAAAACATCGGCCCCCCACCAAGCCAACGGTCTCTGCCCCCCCTCCCCCCAGGTCTTGTCGCCAACCCAGATCGCCATCACCAAGAAGTTCAGTTACGACGACCCTCCCGTCTGGGCCGACGAGCCCGGACCGCTCAAGATCGTGGCGATCAACACGGGCGGCGGTCGGCTCTCTCTCAACCCTGCCGACGGGGGCGTCATCATCGCCGAGGTGCAAGCGGACCTTGACCACCATGGCGTGACCGTGCAGGGCCACGAGAGCCTGGACATCTACCAGTCGACCAAGACCTTTCATATTTCGGGAAGCGGGTTCGTTGACGGCACTAAGGTAAGGCGCGAGCCAAAGGGCCGTCTTTCTGTCGGATGAAAGCTACGAGCCGAAGGGCTGTCTGTCGGATGAAAGCCAAGGGCGGGTGGATAGATGGAGTATGCAGCCCTTGCTCTTCTCGAACGGTTTTAGCAGATGCCTTGCAGTATTTTCAAAGAGGCTGCTCCGTACAGATTCGTAGTTTGCATTTTGGTTGTGGGACGTTGGTTCGCTGGGCTCTCGGAGCAATGAGTGAATCCTTGAGCTGTGTGCACTGTCGAGCCTCAGGCGGTGTAGCCACGGCTATGTTGCATTCGATATGATGACTTCAGTGTACAGGTTCGTACTTTCTTTTTTCAAGGTTCGCTGGGCTCCCCGAGCCGAAAACTCGTGCACTTGTTTGGCTTGAGAAATCTGGCAGCTATCTGCGGGCTGTCCTGCTGGCTACTTTCGTTGTCATCTTCCATCACCCCTTGATGACACTGTGCCCTCATGAATCCACTGCGGAGGGACCACGGTTACCAAGCGATATGTTTTGCGTTCGGGTGTTTTTGCCCTGTTTGTGTTTGTGTTTGTTGTCCGTTTCCTGGGCACGTCGGTTTTTCGTGTTGCACCTTTCCTACGCGGTCACGCTTTTTCGTACCCAAAGTGGCTCACTCGTTGCTCGATAGCATCAAGACAGCCCAAGCCCAAACTAAACCAAAGACCGTGGCTGCTTTCTGTTCATGATGATTGTGCAGTTACCGTGAGGTCTGCCTTTTGGCGGTGTTGTTCCGGGGCCACCACGACGTACAGGGAAGCAGGTCCGCCTCTGGAGACACAAACATCAATGGTGTGATAGTGCAATCCCACGTTATTTCTTACCATCATCTTGAGATTTTTTATGTATTGACATTCACACAGCAATTGTTTGATCGCGCAATCCCACGTCGTTGCATGTCATTGTGGGATTGCTTGGGTTTTGACGCTCAGGAGTAATATATACATTGACACGAGTGGTCGGTTATTGTTCCGTCATTCCAACCATTGTCATTGTGGCATTGTCTTGTGGTGTTGTCAGGTGCGTTTCGCCAACGCTCTCAGGGGTGGAGGAACCAACTTCACCATCACCGACTCGCAGCCCGAACTGCTCACTCTCGAGCTGACGGAGGGAAGCAAGTGGCGCAAGGTGTGTGTGTGAATGCGTGAGATATTGCGATGCATTTTCTTGTTTATATGAGCGTCGACCGCGGTAAGCGGCAGGGGAATGAACAGACCTCAGTCTGAGTTTGTTTGTG